TGGCCTCCCTGCACCTTTGGGTGAACCACGGGCTCATCCTGGCTTTTTCATCATTCCTGTTACCCTTGGGTGCGAACCTCTCCTCAGCCTCCTTGAATATTGTTGTCATACATTCCATCATCTCGTTTACTGACTTCCCTGCCAGTTCTCTGTCCCACTGAACCCCGTTCAGGAAGTTCTTCATTCCCGCGTAGTCCTCCTTCTTGTAGTTTGGCTTCATTCGTCCGGCTCTTCCTGTTCCCCCCTCCACTTTTAACTCTACTGTGTATTCGAATCTTAAAATCACATGATCGCTGGCCCTAAGGTCTCTTTCATATGTGATGTCCTCAGTATCTCAGTCTCGCTGGTTCATCCTCTCCTCTGTCTCTGGTAGTGTCCCTTATGTGTTGGTACATGAAGTTTTCCAATACCACCTCCATCATCTTAGCCCTCCACGTTTCTTGGCCCCCATGAGGCTCCAAGTTCTCCCAATCGATTTCCTTGTGGTTGAAGTCACCCATGATCAGCAGCTTTGCCCTGCTCGCATGAGCCCTTCTTGCCACTTCAGCCAGTGTGTCAACCATCGCTCTATTACTCTCATCATACTCTTGCCTTGGCCTCCTGCTGTTCTGTGGTGAGTTATACATCACTGCAATTACCACCTTGGGACCTCCAGACTGAAGCGTTCCTACTACGTAATCTCCTGTTTCTCCACTGTCTCCTCTCTCCATCTCATCAAAATCCCTTCAGTTTTTGACCAGCGTGCCACTCCTCCACCCCCTCTGTACCCTCTGTGTGTGTACTCACCTAATTCACCTAATTGTGGTCCCGCCTCTTCATTGATCGCTAATAGGTCCTCTCTCTCTCTCTGCTCCCTGAGCTTTGTCATACCTCGTCTTAAGGCTATGTATGGTTCCTGCCTCCACTACATCACTTTCCAGACTATTCCACTTCCTGACAACTCTATGACTGAAGAAATAATTCCTAACATCCCTTTGACTCATCTGAGTCTTCAGCTTCCAATTGTGACCCCTTGTTTCTGTGTCCCCTCTCTGGAACATCCTGTCTCTGTCCGCCTTATCTATTCCGCGCAGTATTTTGTATGTCAATATCATGTCTCCCCTGACCCTCCTGTCCTCCAGTGTCGTCAGGTCGATTTCCCTCAACCTTTCTTCGTAGGACATTTCCCTGAGCTTTGGAACTAGCCTTGTTGCAAACCTTTGCACTTTCTCTAATTTCTTGACATGCTTGACCAGGTGTGGGTTGCAAACTGGCGCGTATGTATGTGTGTGTGTGTGTGTGTGTGTGTGTGTGTGTGTGTGTGTGTGTGTGTGTGTGTGTGTGTGTGTGTGTGTGTGTGTGTGTGTGTGTGTGTGTGTGTACTCACCTAATTGTACTCACCTAATTGTGGCTGCAGGTGTCGAGGCTCAGCTCCTGGCCCCGCCTCTTCACTGAGTGCTACTAGGTCATCTCTCTCCCTGCAAAGTTTGTGTGTGTGTGTGTGTGTGTGTGTGTGTGTGTGTGTGTGTGTACTCACCTATTTGTACTCACCTAATTGTACTCACCTAATTGTGGTTGCAGGGGTCGAGTCATAGCTCCTGGCCCCGCCTCTTTGCTGATTGCTACTAGGTCCTCTCTCTCCCTACCCCATGAGCTTTATCATACCTCGCCTTAAAACTATGTATGGTTCTCGCCTCCACTACGTCACTTTCTAGGCTATTCCACGGCCTGACTACTCTATGACTGAAGAAATACTTCCTAACATCCCTTTGATTCATCTGAGTCTTCAACTTCCAATTGTGACCTCTTGTGTCTGTGTCCCTTCTCTGGAACATCCCGTCTTTGTCCACCTTATCTATTCCGCGCAGTATTTTATATGTCGTTATCATGTCTCCCCTGACCCTTCTGTCCTTCAGTGTCGTCAGGCCGATTTCCCTCAATCTTTCTTCGTAGGACAATCCCCTTAGTTCTGGGACTAGTCTTGTTGCAAACCTTTGCACTTTCTCTAATTTCTTGACGTGCTTGACTAGGTGTGGATTCCAAACTGGTGCTGCATACTCCAGTATGGGCCTGACGTAAATGGCATACAGAGTCTTGAACGAATCCTTACTGAGGTATCGGAACGCTATCCGTAGGTTTGCCAGGCGCCCGTATGCTGCAGCAGTTATCTGATTGATGTGCGCCTCAGGAGATATGCTCGGTGTTATACTCACCCCCAAATCTTTTTCCTTGAGTGAGGTTTGCAGTCTTTGGCCATCTAAACTATATTGTGTCTGCGGTCTTCTTTACCTTTCCCCAATCTTCATGACTTTGCACTTGGCAGGGTTAAACTCAAGGAGCCAGTTGCTGGACCAGGCTTGTAGCCTGTCCAGGTCTCTTTGTAGTCCTGCCTGATCCTCATCCGATTTGATTCTTTTCATTAACTTCACATCATCTGCAAACAAGGACACTTCTGAGTCTATCCCTTCCGTTATGTCGTTCACATATACCAAGAACAGCACAGGTCCTAGGACTGACCCCTGTGGAACCCCGCTTGTCACAGGCGCCCACTCTGACACCTCGTCACGTACCATGACTCGTTGTTGCCTGCCTGTCAGGTATTTTCTGATCCATTGCAGTACCTTTCCTGTTATGTGTGTCTGGTCCTCTAGCTTTTGCAGTAACCTCTTGTGAGGAACTGTGTCGAAGGCCTTCTTGCAGTCCAAAAAAAATGCAGTCGATCCACCTCTCTCTCTCTTGTCTTACTTCTGTCACCTTGTCATAAAACTCTAGTAGGCTTGTGACATAGGATTTTCCTTCCCTGAAACCGTGCTGGTTGTCAATTATACACTTGTTTCTTTCCAGGTGCTCCACCACTCTCCTCCTGATGATCTTCTCCATGACCTTGCATACTATACACGTTAGTGATACAGGTCTGTAGTTTAATGCCTCATGTCTGTCTCCCTTTTTAAAAATTGGGACTACATTTGCCATCTTCCATACTTCAGGGAGTTGTCCAGTTTCAAATGATGTGTTGAAGATCTTTGTTAATGGCACACACAATATCTTTGCTCCCTCTTTAAGGGCCCACGAAGAGATGTTGTCTGGTCCCACCGCCTTTGAGGTGTCAAGTTCGCATAGCAGCTTCTTCACCTCCTCCTTGGTTATATGTACCTCATCCAGCACTTGCTGGTGTACCCCCATGTTCTGATTTCCTGGAGTCCTACTGGTTTCCACTGTAAATACTTCTTTAAATCTCGTGTTGAGCTCCTGACATACCTCTCGGTCGTTTCTTGTGAATTCCCCATCACCCTTCCTCAGTCTGATTACCTGGTCCTTGACTGCTGTTTTCCTCCTGATGTGGCTGTACAACAGCTTCGGGTCAGTCTTGACTTTCGATGCTATGTCATTTTCATATTGTCGCTGAGCCTCCCTTCTTATCCCTTCTCTCTCTCTCTCTCTCTCTCTCTCTCTCTCTCTGCCTCTCTCTCTCTCTCTCTCTCTCTCTCTCTCTCTTCTCCCTCTCTCTCTCTCTCTCTCTCTCTCTCTCTCTCTCTCTCTCTGTGTGTGTGTGTGTGTGTGTGTGTGTGTGTGTGTGTGTGTGTGTGTGTGTGTGTGTGTGTGTGTGTGTGTGTGTGTGTATGTGTGTGTGTGTATGTGCACTATCACCATGACCAGCGGAATCACTGCAGGCACAAAGTTGTAATAAAGGACAACAGAACGTGCATCATCATCAGCTCAGCGCTGTTTCCTCAGGCTCAGGTGAGTGAGAAAAATTGTATAACGTTTAGGATGAGGATGTGGCTTGTCTCACTGGCTCAATAATTAGGGAGAATTTACAATATTAAGCTTTGCACTGAGTGCGAAAATTTAAAAATTTATTTAGTCTATCCTACAGCATCCTCTCAAGTATAGATGGTACATGTGAGCGAAAGATGTGCTTTTATCAGAGCTGCGAGAAGAGTGTGTTGGAAAACACTAGTTTACCATGGAAGGATGTACTCTTTCACTGACATATAGACCAGGGAACGTGCTTTAGTGGATCAAAGAATACCCAAAACGAAAGGCTACATTACCCAAGGGAAAAGCTACATCACCCAAGGGAAAGGCTACATCACCCAAGGGAAAGGTTACGTCACCCAAGGGAAAGGTTACGTCACCCAAGGGAAAGGTTACGTCACCCAAGGGAAAGGTTACGTCACCCAAGGGAAAGGTTACGTCACCCAAGGGAAAGGCTACGTCACCCAAGTGAAAGGCTACATCACCCAAGGGAAAGGCTACGTCACCCAAGGGAAAGGCTGCGTCACCCAAGGGAAAGGCTACGTCACCCAAGGGAAAGGCTACGCCATCCAAGGGAAAGGCTACGTCACCCAAGGGAAAGACTACGTCACCCTAGGGAAAGGCTACATCACCCAAGGGAAAGGCTACGTCACCCAAGGGAAAGGCTACGTCACCCAAGGGAAAGGCTACGTCACCCAAGGGAAAGGCTACGTCACCCAAGGGAAAGGCTACGTCACCCAAGGGAATGGCTGCGTCACCCAAGGGAAAGGCTGCGTCACCCAAGGGAAAGGCTACGTCACCCAAGGGAAAGGCTACGTCACCCAAGGGAAAGGCTACGTCACCCAAGGGAAAGGCTACGTCACCCAAGGGAAAAGCTACGTCACCCAAGGGAAAGGCTACGTCACCCAAGGGAAAGGCTACGTCACCCATGGGAAAGGCTACGTCACCCAAGGGAAAGACTACGTCACCCAAGGGAAAGACTACGTCACCCAAGGAAAGGGTACGTCAAGCGATAATCTGGTTGGAAATATTGGGATGACAGAGTGAGATAAATGTAGTCCAATAAGGATCCCGTCCAGATATACCTAAGTAACATTCATGAAAAATAGTCGTATTTAGTACTACTACTACTACTACTACTACTACTACTACTACTACTAATAATAATAATAATAATAATAATAATAATAGTAATAATAACAATAATCATTAATTATTATCATTAACAATAATAACAGAAACAATAACTAAGTGGTACTTACCAAGAACGCCAAGTAGAAAAAGAACAGCTCCGAGGATGATGTGAGCAAAGCCAAGTCCGCGGACCAATGAAGCCGAGTATTTGACCTCTGAAGGCAGGAGGGTGTCAGGGGGTGCCGGCAGGGCCAGTGGCAGCTTGGTGCCGCTAGAAACTTGAATCACAAACACCTGGTTGTGCTGCATCTTTCACGAGAGCGGAGGAGGAGGAGGCTCAAGAGGAACGAGTGAAAAGATTGAGAAGGAAAAGGAAGGAAGAAAGGAATGGAGAAGTAACCACGGAGGGCGAGTAGAATGAATGATGAAAGTGTAGAAGGAAGGAGAGGAAGATGGTGAAAAATAGTGTCAGTATAATTTGCGAAAGATAAATATATTAACGAAGGTCGTAAGCAGAAGACAAATATGAATATGACAACATTGAATTACTAAAGAAGAGTGATGGACAGCAACATAGGTGATGGAGAAGGAAGACAGAGGAAGACAGAGGGAGGGAAGGGCAGAACACAGTGAGTGGGAGTAACAGCAATGGGAGGGCCTAAGTAGAGGTCCTGGGAACAGCCGAGGAGTATGCCACCTTACACCGCACTGAGGGCAAAGAGGAGAAGGAGGGAACGACCTGAGAAAATCGAGAGTGAGAACTCTTGCTAAAGTATTGATAAAAGGTCACAGATATGATAATGAATCTAGATATATCACTGGCAACATGTGCGTATGTAAAGATTTATAAGTCAGCGACAGTATTCAATAGGTAAAGCTTTGAAGAACCAGATAAATCCAGGAAAAGTAGTCTAGGACAGTGAAAAACAGATAATATCTGAGTGAGAATTCAGAAAAATGAATTAAGTTATAATCATGTTAAGGTTAAGTTAGGTAACGTTTGTCAGGAAACAGGGCAAGTGTTTCCTGACGCGAGTCTTAGTCATATGATGATCCGCAGCTGGCGCTTGTGGTCATGTCAAGGTAAGGATCAGGAGGTGCAGCTTGATCAGTGAAGTCTGGTGATAAATGATGGAGGGCGTAGTATGGCAGTTGGACTTGACAGAAGAAAGATAAAGCAGAAGATTCAAAGAGTAGTTTAGTAAAACACGAAGCAAGCGACGTCGGGAGGGAGGCTAGAGGTTGTATTCTCACAGATGATAGATTGACCTGACTTTAAGTCTGGTGGACGGCTCGACCTGGAGTCCTAACCACATTACATGGTCTTTTATCGTTTTGTCAGTAATTTTTCTACGTCACTAACTCAGGCTAGGAATTATTCCAGTATTCCATATTTCAGTTCATCACAAGAAACCCTAGTTCTAAACACTTCCATGAACTTTCAAAGCATAAACAATCACTCCATGTTGAATGCTGAGTGGTTGCTCACTCTTAGTAAGGCCGTTGAAATCTCTTGAGGTCTTGACGTCTCTCACTATAGACGACAACAGTTCGCTACAGTACTGTAGAAATACAAAAAATTGTATAAATGCATATATGCTAACCATACGTGTATACAGTTCGAGAATATTGGGAGTGAATGGGTGAATACTTCCCGCACCAACGTCACTGTCGACCCCGGGGCCAGGGACATCCGCTCCTCACAACCTACCCACCCACCAAACCCACCCACCCATCCACCCACCCACCCACCAACCCACCCACCCATCCACCCACCCACCCACACACATACACACGTAACCATTTATTGCCAAGAAACCGTTAGCATCTTGATTTTTTTCTGCTGCTTCTTACATTTAATTTTCAAACTTTTTTTTTAAAGGTATTCATAGACAGTATCTGCGAAATTCGGAGTTTCATAAGTATGCTTGTTTGTAAAAGTGCCCGAGTCAATGATTTGGTTTGTACAGTACCAGTTACTTAACCCTTAAACTGTCCAAACGTAGATCTACGTTTTTTTCAACATTTGAAAGCATGTAAAAAACGTAGATCTTCTTTTCTTTTTTTTTTTACATTTGAAAAGGTGTAAAAAAAACTTTGATTAACTTGTTTTTTGTTATATTTGAAAATATGTAAAAAACGTAGATCTACTTTTGGAGCACTACGCATGTGAACGTAAATTTGTTTGGACAGTTTAAAGGTTAGGTAGCAAGTGTTTGTTTACTGAATCTGAACGCATACAGTCAGAACGGCTTTGCTGTTGTGATTCATCACCGTTCAACTTGAACGTAATAAGCTGCTGAGTGCAGCACACATCACTGTCACACACACACACACACACACACACACACACACACACACACACACACACACACACACACACACACACACACACACACACACACACACACACACACACACACACAAACACACACACGGACGAGGATCAGGCAGGACTACAAAGAGACCTGGACAGGCTACAAGCCTGGTCCAGCAACTGGCTCCTTGAATTTAACGCTGCCAAATGCAAAGTCATGAAGATTGGGGAAGGGCAAAGAAGACCGCAGACACAATATAGTTTAGATGGCCAAAGACTGCAAACCTCACTCAAGGAAAAAGATCTGGGGGTGAGTATAACACCGAGCATATCTCCTGAGGCGCACATCAATCAGATAACTGCTGCAGCATACGGGCGCCTGGCAAACCTACGGATAGCGTTCCGATACCTCAGTAAGGATTCGTTTAAGACTCTGTACACCATCTACGTCAGGCCCATACTGGAGTATGCAGCACCAGTTTGGAATCCACACCTAGTCAAGCACGTCAGAAATTAGAGAAAGTGCAAAGGTTTGCAACAAGACTAGTCCCAGACTACGGGGATTGTCCTATGAAGAAAGGTTGAGGAAATCGGCCTGACGACACTGGAGGCCAGGAGGGTCAGGGGAGACATGATAACGACATATAAAATACTGCGCGGAATAGACGAGGTGGACAAAGACGGGATGTTCCAGAGATGGGACACAGACACAAGAGGTCACAATTGGAAGTTGAAGACTCAGATGAATCAAAGGGATGTTAGGAAGTATTTCTTCAGTCATAGAGTAGTCAGGCCGTGGAATAGCCTAGAAAGTGATGTAGTGGAGGCGGGAACCATACATAGTTTTAAGGCGAGGTATGATAGAGCTCATGGGGCAGGGAGAGAGAGGGCCTAGTAGCAATCAGCGAAGAGGCGGGGCCAGGAGCTGTGACTCGACCCCTGCAACCACAAATAGGTGAGTACAAATAGGTGAGTACATACACAGAAGTGAAGAGTCTGTTAAGCGAGCTAGATACCTCAAAGGCGATAGGGCCATATAACATTTCTCCATGGGTCCCGAGAGAGGGAACAGAGGCACTTTGTGTACCACTAACAACTATCTTCAACACATCTATCGAAACAGGACGACTACCGGAAGTATGGAAGACAACAAATGTAGTCCCAATTTTTAAAAAAAGGAGACAGACACGAAACATTAAACTACAGACCAGTGTAAATGACGTATATAGTATGCAAGGTCATGGAGAAGTTTATCAGGAGAAGAGTGGTGGAGCACCTAGAAAGGAATGAGCTTATCAACGACAGCCAGCACGGTTGCAGGAACGGGAAATCCTGTGTCATAAACCTACTGGAGTTCCAGAACAAGGTGACGGTTGTAAGACAAAAGAGAGAGGGGTGGGTAGACTGCATTTTCTTGGACTGTAAGAAGGCGTTTGACACAGTTCCACACAAGAGATTAGTGCCGAAGCTGGAGGACCAGGCAGGGATAACAGGGAAGGCACTACAATGGATCAGGGAATACCTGTCAGGAAGACAACAGGGAGTCATGGTACGTGGCGAGGTGTCAGAGTGGGCGCCTGTATCGAGCGGGGTGCCACAGGGATCAGTCCTAGGACCAGTGCTGTTTCTGGTATTTGTGAACGACATGACAGAAGGAATAGACTCCGAAGTGTCCCTGTTTGCAGTTGATGTGAAGTTGATGAGAAGAATTAAATCGGACGAGGACCAGGAAGAACTACAAAGGGATCTGGACAGGCTGCAGGCCTGGTCCAGCAATTGGCTCCTGGAGTTCAACCCCACCAAGTGCAAAGTCATGAAGATTGGGGAAGGGCAAAGAAGACCGCAGACGGAGTACAGTCTAGGGGGCCAGAGACTACAAACCTCACTCAAGGAAAAGGATCTTGGGGTGAGTATAATACCGTGCATATCTCCTGAGGCGCACATCAACCAAATAACTGCAGCACTATATGGCCGCCTGGCAAACCTAGGAATAGCATTTCAACACCTTAGTAAGAAATTGTTCAAGACTCTGTGCACCGTGTACATTAGGTCCATGCTGGAGTACGCAGCACCGGTATGGAACCCACACCTGGCCAAACACATCAAGAAATTAGAGAAAGTCCAAAGGTTTGCAACAAGACTACTCCCGGAGCTAAAGGGTATGTCCTACGAGGAGAAGTTAAGGGAAATCGACCTGACGACACTAGAGGACAGGAGGGATAGGGGGGACATGATAACGTATAAAATGCTTAGAGGAATTGACGAGGTGGATGGGGACAGGATGATTCAGAGATGGGACACAGCAACAAGGGGACACAGTTGGAAGTTGAAGACTCAGATGAGTTACAGAGATGCTAGGAAGTATTTCTTCAGCCCTAGAGTTGTCAGGAAGTGGAATAATCTAGAGAGTGATGTAGTGGAGAGAGGATCCGTACATAGCTTTAAGAAGAGATACGATGAAGCTCGTGGAACAGGAAGAAAGTGGACCTAGTAATGACCAACAAAGAAGCGGGTCCAGGAGGTATGAATCGACCCCGACCCCTGCAACTACAAATAGGTGAGTACAGTGAGAGACACCTTGTGGAGTATACACCGCCACTCAGTAAATATAGAAATTTTCATGATTATGAATGTTGACAGTACTCTTCACTACGCAGATAATTAAGCAATCACTAACAGGCGGCTCGAGAACAGTTACAGGTAATTCTTGAGCTCTGGCGCGACAAGACATTCTGGGTTTGTGACTGGCCAGGAGATTCATGGATGTCTCCCTCCGTCCACCTTGTCTATTCCACGCAGTATTTTGTATGTGTGTGTGTGTGTGTGTGTGTGTGTGTGTGTGTGTGTGTGTGTGTGTGTGTGTGTGTGTGTGTGTGTGTGTGTGTGTGTGTGTGTGTGTGTGAGTGTGTGTGTACTCACCTATTTGTTTGTACTCACCTATTTGTGGTTGCAGGGGTCGAGTCCTAGCTCCTGGCCCCGCCTCTTCACCGGTTTGCTACTAGACCCTCTCTCTCCCCGCTCCATGAGCTTTATCAAACCTCGTCTTAAAACTGTGTATGGTTCCTGCCTCCACTACGTCATTTTCTAGGCTATTCCACTGCCTTACAACTCTATGACTGAAGAAATACTTCCTACTATCTCTCTGACTCATTTGTGTCTTCAACTTCCAATTGTGGCCTCTTGTTTCTGTGTCCCCTCCCTGGAACATCCTGTCCTTGTCCACCTTGTCTATTCCACGCAGTATTTATATGTCGTTATCATGTCTCCCCTGACCCTCCTGTCCTCAGTGTCGTCAGGCCGATTTTCCCTTAATCTTTCTTCATAGGACATTCCCCTTAGCTCTGGAACTAACCTTGTTGCAAACCTTTGTACTTTCTCTAGTTTCTTGACGTGCTTTATCAAGTGCGGGTTCCAAACAGGTGCTGCATACTCCAGTATGGGCCTGACATACACGGTGTACAGTGTCTTGAATGATTCCTTACTAAGGTGTCGGAATGCTGTTCTCAGGTTTGCCAGGCGCCCATATGCTGCAGCAGTTATCTGATTGATGTGTGCTTCCGGAGACATGCTCGTGTTATACTCACCCCAAGATCTTTCTCCTTGAGTGAGGTTTGCAGTCTTTGGCCACCTAGCCTATACTCTGTCTGTGGTCTTCTGTGCCCTTTCCCTATCTTCATGACTTTGCATTTGGCAGGATTAAATTCGAGAAGCCATTTGCTGGACCAGGTGTCCAGTCTGTCCAGGTCTCTTTGAAGTCCTGCCTGGTCCTCATCAGATTTAATTCTCCTCATTAACTTCACATCATCTGCAAACAGGGACACTTCTGAGTCTAACCCTTCCGTCATGTCGTTCAATATACCAAAAATAGCACTGGTCCTAGGACCGACCCCTGTGGGACCCCGCTCGTCACAGGTCCCCACTGTGATACATCATTACGTACCATGACTCGTTGTTGCCTCCCTGTCAGGTATTCTCTGATCCATTGCAGTGCCCTTCCTGTTATATGCGCCTGATGCTCTAGCTTCTGCACTAATCTCTTGTGAGGAACTGTGTCAAAGGCCTTCTTGCAGTCGAAGAAGATGCAATCAACCCACCCCTCTCTCTCTTGTCTTACTTCTGTTATTTTATCATAAAACTCCAGAAGGTTTGTGACACAGGATTTGCCTTCCGTGAATCCGTGCTGGTTGGCATTTATACTCCTGTTCCGTTCCAGGTGCTCCACCACTCTCCTCCTGATAATCTTCTCCATAATTTTGCATACTATACA